AGCCAGCCCCTCTCTGCCCCACCAGCCCCCCTAAACCTTCAGCCAGCCCCACTCTGCCCCTTCCAGACCCCCCATGCCCCCTAGCCAGCTGCCCCTGCCCCCCACCAGACCCCCCTAAACCCCCAGCCAGATCCCTTGTACCCCCAGCCAGCTTCCCCATCCCTGCAGCCTCCCTGCTCTGCCAGTTCCCAGCCAGCCCCCCTGCCAGCCCCCTCCTAAATCCCCAGTCTGATCCCCTGCCTCCCAGCCAGCCCCCTATCTGGCCCTGCCAACCCCCTAAACCCCCCAGCCAGACCCCCTGCCCTGCACCAGACCCTTCTAAATCCTCCGCCAGATGCTCCTGCCCCCTCCAGCCTGATCCCCTCTCCATAGTTTGCCTCCAGCCAGCCCCCCGCCCCGCCAGATCCTCCTAAACCCTCCCCAGATCCCCCTCTGCCCCATCAAACCCCCCAGCCAGCCCCCTGGCCACTCACCAGAACCCCTCGCCCCTGCCAACCCCCCTGTCCCACCCCCCCAAACCCTCAGCCAGCCTCCCACCCCCCAGGCTGCCTACAGCCAGAGCCCCCCAGCCACCTTCCAGACAGCCCCCCAGCGTGACCCCCCCCGCCCCTGCCAGATCCCCCCGCCTCCAAGCCAGCACCAGCTCTCACCTGGCAACATCAGCATCCCCCAGCCCTCCCCCTCTAGCAGCCAGCTTCTCCCGCGCCCCCAGCCTGGCTCTCCCTGCCCCCAGGGGGAAGTCACCGAGGCTGATCAGGTACCGTTTGTGTGGCTGCTGGAGGAAAACAGGAACCACGGGCCATGGGCACGAGTGTCTTTAGCATGGATTAGCCGGGCGCAGTGCAGGGCTGCCCTCTGGACAGCTCCCTGCCTCCCCGGGGCCCTGTCACCCCCCCTGGGCCCCCCGACACCCCCCACCCATCCCTGCCTCAGCACCCCCTCCGCTGGCACCTGACTGCGCCTTGGGTGGGGGCAGCCCGCGAGGCAGCAGCGCCAGCCAGAAACCAGGAGCCATGTCACTACAGCGCATCCGACTGATGGGCCAGTGTTGGGGCAGAGTCAAGGATGGGGGGTGTGTGAAGGGGCAGAGTCAAGGGGTGATAGGGAGGGTAGTGAAGGGGGCAGCGTTAAGGGCGGGATGGAGAGGGAAGAAGGGGCAGTTAAGGTCAGTTGGGGAAGGTGCCAGCTGCCAGGGGGCAGATTTAAGGGTGGAGTGGGACGGGCAAAGTTAAGGTCAGCTGGGGATGGTGCCTGGGACAGAGTTAAGGCTGCAAAGCGCTCTGCTGGGAGGCTCCGGCTCACGCCTCCCTGCCCCTGATCTGTTCAGAATCAAGGCAGGAGGAGTTAATGGAGGGGAAGTGAATCTCACCCGGGGGTGGGGCCAGGGGCAATGGCTGGGGGCCGAGCTGGGAGGTGGGGGGTGTTGATGGGGGCCAGGAGGCCAGGGCCAGAGCTGGCTGGAAGTGGGGGACGGGGGCTGGGAGTGCTGGCTGGAGGCTGGGAGCCAGGGGGCCAGGGTGGGGGCTGGCTAGAGGCTGGGGATGATGGCTGGGGGCCAAAAGGCTGGATGCTGGGGGGTGATGGCCAGGGGGCCAGGGTGGGGGCTGGCTGGAAGTGGGGGGCAGGGGCTGGGAGCGGTGAGTGGAGGCCAGGAGGCTGGGAGCCAGGGGGCCAGGGTGGGGGCTGGGGGCAGGGGCTGGGGACTGGCTGGAGGCTGAAGGGGGGTGGCTGGAGGCCAAGAGTCGGGGCTGGGGGGTGATGGCCAGGGGCCAGGAGGCCGGGGCTGGCTGAGGCCAAGCACAAGGGGTCCAGTGGCGCTGCCTGGGCCGGCAGCCACAGGCAGGTGAGCGCAACCTTTCCAGGCCCCTAATCCCCTAATCCCCCCGGC